CATTGGCTCCAGTCATGATCTTGGGACCTCATCTTCAGACTCTGGCCTTGACAGCCAATCAGCCAAGTGGTTCTCCGTCTCGGGCACGTGCTGGATTATGAAGTCGTACTCTTGCAACCGGGGAGCCCATCGTGCGAGCTATCCGCGAGGATCTCTAGTGGTCCTGATCCACCTCAGGTGTATGTGATCGGTTTTGACATGTAACCCTTGCCCAAGCGGATATGGTCTCCACTTATCCAGGGCCCAGACAATCGCTAAACATTCCTTCTCAATGGTGGAGTGCTTCTGTTCAGCATTAGTCAGGACGCGACTGGCATATTTGATAACTCCATTCCGCTGCATTAGGACTGCGCCGATACCCCGATCACTGGCCTCCGTTGCAACAATGAACATCTCACCGACCTGGGGAAGATTGAGGGTCAGTTGCTAATCCGACATCCGCGCTTTGACACGCTCAAAAGCTCCATGTGCTTCTCCGGTCTTTTCAGAAGACAAAAAGCGAAATCCTACGAACAACACATACTACTTGGGTGCCCCTAATCAATAGTATAACCGTTATGCCGGTAAAAATCGGCTTTAAGATGGGTGAATCTCATTCGGTTCAATAGCAGCCACTCCATTGGATTCGATTCTTTCAGCAACAAAGAGAATGGTGATCTGTGTCCTACTATCGAATCACATGGTTTTGAATAGTTAATTTTTTCCTATTCTGGTCAGTGTAATTTAATTTTGTCCAACCCAGTGAAAAATGCAATATTGTTACTTTCCAAATAGGATGTCAAGTTGAGTGTTCGGGTCTCTTGAGTGTTAGACGTGGGACGACAAAATGGTACTCCACAAATGCCTACATATTCAGAGTCTTAATGGCGAAATGCTAACCAGCGTATTGTTTACCGTCTAGTTGCAGGTTTATTCGTGATTAGTGTGCGAAGGTTCGCATGAGCGCTGCTATCAAGAACGGAATGGAGATGCATAAGTCAAGCTGCCAAACCCTTAGTTAGTGCACGTTGAATTCCATAAGATTTTCTGGAAATGTTTTTAAAGGGCACACTTTTGGTTTCCACAGGTGGTATGGCTTTGAGTGTTCTATTGAGGACATCTTTGATCAAGCTAAAAATGGATAAATGTGCCGTTGTTCACAAATATACAGTCAAATATAACATTTCGTCTATTGTGATGAACCTTCCGCTGTGTCCTGGTAATCGTCAAATTAACGTCATTAGGATTGTTTTCCACAAATCAAATTATAATTCGTCATTGTATGATAAACGAGTTAAAAAATTGTGGAGTAAAACCACGCAGTTGGGTATTTTGCACGCACTTCGTCAGATCGTATCTTTGGTCCGACGCAGAAGCACCGCTTTCCTGGATCAGAAACACATATGTCAGACAAGTAGTACAAGTACAGGCAATTTTGGAATATCAGAGAATGATCTTCATTTAGCCCGAAATTCATTGTCCTATACGTTAGATGACAGGAACCAACCAAATCGAGCAAGGTTTACTTGCTCAAGCTTTTTGAATTTAACACATCTCCACTACCAGTTTATGGCACTAAAAGGAAGCTCTTAAGAGGTTGCGCGATATGCCCCTACCATTACAAAGGGGATTCTTGTTTCAACGTTGTTTTCGGGGCAACTCAGACAGGTACCTTTATCCACAGCGTGAAAGTGCCCATGCACCCTCAATCACACACCGTTCCAAAGTCACCGTTTCAAATTCGTTTTGCAGATCCCATTCTCCTGTCTACACCAAGGGGGATAAATTTGCGCGTTCAAATCCTGTCTGGTGGATCGGAATATTGACTTTTCCAGGAAAGTCAAAGCAAATTCCTGCGTGAATATCGGAAGACAATGCAAATTCCAGCGTGAATATCCGTCACAAATAAACGATGTAGTAGAAAAAATGTGACTGCATCACCCCGAAGGTAGACCTGGTGATATAATAGCTGCTGAACTATGACGAAGATATCAGGCTAGATTTGTCATTATGTTTGACAGTAGAAAAGATATTGTATCTGATCAAGTACTTACTTTATCATAAGGAGGTTAGTTTCGGCGCTTCGCAAATCCACTTAATAGACATCAGGCATGCAAAAATATGTCTGATAACTGGTATTTCTTCTTATCAAACTGCTCCGGAAAAGCATGAAAAGGAAGATTGTTGAGGACCTACCTGACTAATTTGTAATGCATGCGTTAGACTAACTGTAGAACTTGTAAGCAAAGGAAGGGCGTGTGCCTCACAAAGGGATCTTGAAGCCCACCATTCAATTCTAGAATGGCCCGACATAGTGAGCAACGTCGACGAACTGGCAAGCTCGGTAGTAAGTATCATGCGCGGTCTAAGCTATATCAGGTAATTAGCCTATTCCTAGTGTAATTCACAGAGACTAAGTCGCGGTGATAAACAGAGCATTCGATGGGTTCTTGAAGACATCCGCATGCCCCACTAGTCGTCTACAGTAAGCAAGCGGGAAAAGATAAATATAGTTTGTCACTTTTCAGTCTGGTTGGCCATTTCTCGCCCCATCATCGGCATGTTCAATTCAAGGATTCAAGGATTCAAGGATTGATACACAGGATCGAGGCTTTAGCCCGAGTTTCCCGGGTCGGTTTTACTCTTGTTGGTCAGTGGCTGTCGTTCATCTGAAAGGAACAAGCGAAAAAAAGGTGTAGCACTGCTCTTTATGTTCTCAGCGCGGGGCAGTATGCTCGCCAGCGCGAGGATAAATGTCTAATAGTGCTTTAAATTTGGTTCGAGAAGGAGCGCATACAACCGTTGGAGGAAGGTCATTCCACGCAGCTACTTCCCGAAATGAAAAAAAACTTTTGTATAATGAATTTGCGTGCCCTGAGCTTGAAAATTTTCTTACTATGTCCTCGCCGGGTGTTTGCTGGGTCAGCGGTAAAAAACCTGTTTGCCAAGCTTCGTTCAAACAGGGCGTAAATAAGAATTAGGTCCCCTCGGAGGCGACGGTACTCCAGGGGAAAGAGATCAAGCATCGCGAGACGCGTTTCGTAGTCCACGGATTTGAGGCCGGCAACCATTCTAGTGGCGGCCCGCTGGACACGCTCAATGAGGGTGACGTCTTTCGTACGTCCTGGGTAGACAACTTGGTCGGCGTACTCCAGGAGCGGTCTGTAGTAGGCCCCGTAGAGTATTTGGAAGTCCATGGGAGTAATACGGAAGAAGGTGCGTCGGATCACCCGTAAAATGGCGAATGCCTTTTGGGCCGATTATCCATCCAGATTATCCAGATTTGGTGGCGTACTTACCGATGAAATGAAAAGTGGAAAAGGGATAATATCCGAGTGAAATATGGCGCTTATGATTGTATTCAAAATAACTTCAGAAAAGCATTGGTAGCGGGGAGGCGACGAGTTAAGAATGAAGTAGCCGACAAATCGAATCAAGAATAATTTAACCTCCTTGTAGTAGTTAACATCTCTCTTATCGAGCAGTATGGTTGATAGTACTTCATGATTTTTTTATATGCATCGGCAACGTAAGCATTTGTTGACTACTGGATGTATCTTAAATGCGAAATTCATGCAGCTTCTTCAATACCTAATATGTATAAATGCATACAGTTCGCCGCTCTAGAATTTGTTTTTGACCACCAGCGATAACAGACAGTCGTAACCGACGCTCTGAGTCAAATCGGATGCACCGCTTGGTGGTTGGTCTGTTCGCCGAGCTTGGCAGCTGGGTTGCATACGTATCATCACCAGTCGTGGTGATATTTTCAGTGCGGAGTCGAGTTGGTAGACACGTGTTTCGAACCAGACTTGCAAATGAGCAATCACAACAACTATACGACCTGTATTGTTATTCAGCTTTGTGTAATCATCAGGCCAAAACAATCAGCGTGGCACTGATATTAACTAAACTAAATCAAATGCACTTCACATTCAAAATACTAGCTAGCCACGCCTTACTTAAAAAGCGCAACAGTCTGAGAGTGAGTGGCGCTGCGTTGCACCACTCCTGTGAAAAACGCGCCACTGAATAAAAATCTCCCATACATTGCGACCACGCCACTCGTTTGTTAAATTACTGCTCCGAGCTTTTCCAGCTAAACAAATCTGCGACTCCTCAACGAATCAGCGATTTCTCAACCAATCAGTCATGCTTTACATTTGGAATTTCGGTTTTTGGGCCAGGTCGGACGCGACTTCTGAGTTTGTATGTGGCACACGTAGAATTTTGTCAATTTCTCCAGGTGTGTAAACATACTATGGTGCAAATTATGCACTTGCAGACCACTCCTTAACTTATGTTGAAGTGTGTCTACATACTAAGTCGCACAGTTTAATAAAAAGCTGTTCACTTTTCGGAAGAGTGGCGTGTATTTGGTCCAGTAGTGTGCCTTATAGGAGCCGGCGAGAGAGTTAAGAAAGTACAGCCATGATTGCGGCTGCTAGAGATCACAACGACGCACATTCTTGAAGCTGGAGAAGACACTCCTGTTGCATGAGACTTCTTATCTGCAGAACCTCCAACGTAATTATGAATACCCGATTGATCCGCAGGCGGTGCCGTAACACAGCTAAGCTCCTTGGAGGAAATACTAAATCGTCCCGCGGCTCCCTTTGCAGACACCAATGTCAAGGGCAGACCCAATTCATTGCTATTATGTGATTGTTACAAGATCACTCACGATTTTACTCACGTGAACTTAGCAGCATGATCTATTTGATTCAAACTGTGTTAGGCTGCGAAAGCTAAAGCTGGTACTCATGGTCTGTTTAAAACGCAATATTTGCGAGAGCGTCTTCGCTGATGTAAAAAAATAAAAGGGCCAGGTGGCGCACCCGGTCAGATAAAAACCAAACCATTGTCCATGTATTTCTTAATTTCATTATCAGGGCGCATCCTACGCTTATATATATCCATTTGGAGAGCGTCTTGATGTAAAAAAATAAAAGGGCCAGGTGGCGCACCCGGTCAGATAAAAACCAAACCATTGTCCATGTATTTCTTAATTTCTTTCATAGGGCGCATCCTACGCTTATATATCTCCATTTGATAATTTGTTCCACAAAACACTCCCATGCACGATATCGCGGTACGCTTCTGCTCGACGTGGCAGCCCACACCAACGCTCCGACGCCGTTTAGCCATGGTGCAATCGCCGTGAGTATCAACCTTCCAGTCCCACCGACTCATTGACAACTGTCATTTCACCTCTCCTCCGCGACTTGCCTCTACCAGCGTCTGCATGCTGTTGCTTGTTCGGATTGACTGAGCTGTCTTTACTGGCCATGCTTTCCCCCGACCAAAAAAATGGTAGCTGGAGTATTTATTAATGCACAAACCGCACTTATGACTGCTTGGATGGTTTTCCACCTTGCAGATCTGGTAGCATGCACGAGGGAAAAAAACCTTGTGTGGTGGACGGGTACGTCCTGCAGGGAGGGTCGCCCTGTTACGCTGCACCATGGTGCGTTCGTATGCCCGCCACCCCTCCAGTAGCACGGGTGCATCGCCCATCGCCGGTGGTTCTGAGTCTGGCCTTTAAATTCAGGAAATCAAAAAAAAGTACTGCTGACTTCTGTTTGTTGCTGCTGGTGTTGGGCTCGCCTCGGTAGAGTTATACAAAAAGAGTTATACAACTGGACTCTCATCTGTAAAAAAAAAAAAAAAAAAAAGATCACTTGGGATAGCCTGAAAATACTCTGCAATGCCCATGACCTACATCGGCGAGCGTAGTTGTATCTGCTTTCGTCAGGACAGAGGCTACACCGCACCAAAGCCCATTCCGTCATCCAAACAGAGAATACATCTACTCACCACTCACAGTGGTAGACACCAGGGCCTTCGTCGCTATGCACCACCTACAGATCAGAGCTGATAGCAGTGCTTCGGGGACTGGTGACTATTTCTCAAGCACACACTTTCTCTCCTGGTATATATCCAACTCATGTAATAAATACTCGATTAACCAGTTAGCTCAGAATTCCATTCCCGCCAGCCCTTACACACCTGATTCCCATACGACACTTTTGCGCGCTTATATCGGCTTTTACTAGATCCCTTGTAATATAATACCGTATATCAGCGAAACCAGCCCCTGGTCGCTAGCCTACTAAGTACAAATCTATCTACTCCCTACTCCATGTAATCGCTTGTCATCATCCTAGTTGCATCAGACGCCAAGTTTTTCTTTCTATGTATATAAATGCATATTATCCCATTTCATATCCCCTCAAACTCACTATGTTTTGCAAATCTCCTCCCATCCCCTCACCTTCCCAAGCCTTAAACTTCGGAAGTGCCCGCTTTGGACGATCTGGTTAGCTGATCTCCACTCCACCTGGCCTATGATCTACAACTCCGGGATCACCAAACGGACCAAGAAAACCTGCAGTCCCATATCGGCTTCGTTCGAGCTTGTTTCCTCGACCAGGCTGAAATAAATACCGCTGCTCAATGAACTGCATACCCAAGACGAATTATCTCAAATGTTGACGTCCGTCACGGGGCTGTCCAAAAACTGAAGCATGTCAGGCCAATGATGGCACGGCACTGTCATACTCAGTTTGATAGCACACCCGCAACTGTTCCATTCCTCCCCTAAACCGTGCCCTCTTGCCTACTCGTTTCATTGACCCCAATCGACCACCATGACATTCATTCCAACCTATTGGACTACTCGTTCAAATTCAACCACCGCTGTGTTCCCATCAAACCTAACCCCTACACCTGACTTCCCAACAACAGAGCAACCAGTGAGTCTGCTTGTTTTCAGGTTGCACCATATTTTTGAGACTAAACTTGCCGTGTTCTCCCAATTCGGATTATCCCATCTCCACCTCCACTTTTGCTTGTTATGACTCCGGCCATTTACCCAACCGCCCAAGGTCACTCATGGCCAGCAATGGTTTTGCAGTTTTAGTTCATGGCAGCCAACGGAGTCACTGAATTACTCGGACCTCATGCCTATTGTTCACTACAGGTTGCAAGTGAAACATATTATTATTGTTATTGTTTAATCAAGTACCTCCCACTGTTTGTGACATTGTCCCCTTTTCGCGCAGTCAACACTTCCCGCAAATCCCTCAGTAGTGCCCCATTCTGACTGTAAACGCATGATCATGCCAGACGGCATGCCACCCACAAGTTGGGGATAAACATTATCATTATCATTCTGTAAGTTTAGTTTGTCTATTCCGGTTACATAATTTACGTTTGTATCGAAAGCGGACTTTACGTTTCAGTTCTTGGATGCTTCAAGGCGAATTTTGCTCCAATGGATGACCGGCTGTATTCACTAGTACAAGAAATTCGACTTTTTCGAGCCCTTGAAAAACAGAGATAATTGGTCTAATAGATCGGACANATCTCACTTCAACAAAACACTTAAACTACACAGGCGTATACTATTATGTTACTAAGATTTAGGAATACCTCAAGCTGTGTGGTCGAGTCGAACGGATGCGTGACATTCCGTCAAACTTCTGCTCTGTTAATCAAGTCTGTTTGCGTTATAAATTTGTGTCATGCGGAAAAAAAGACAGAATTCTACAACGGTACATAGAGTGCTTTGCGAAATGCCATAGAGGGTAAGTATTTGTTTTTTAAAGCGTCCATCAAAAATGCGTAGTTTTGAACTAAACAATACAAAACTGATCATTATCAAACGGACGGATGCCACGGGGAGAAACTCGTCAGCCGGGTTCATCCAGTGATATCATGCATCGAGTTTCCGAAAAATCCAGAAAGGTACGTGCACTATACCTCCTCGTTAATGCTGGACACTACCCTTTTGGATGCATTGTCACTTGGTCCAAAACTTTGTTAGTCTAAGCGTTGAAACTGCCAACTCAAGTCTGAAGTTCGACCTGAGATTCAATATGATCAGCTATTCATGCTGGCACCTTCCTCTAAACTGAGTTTAGAACCACTGAAATCGGCATTGGTAAATTCGTGTTACCGATAACTTGGCTAAAATGCAAACCCAAACGACTTTTAACAAAAGAATATTTCAAGCTTCTGAAACGTTTACAAGTAAACGACCGTGTTTTACTTTCCAAGCCAGATAAGGGCTGTGGGATTGTCTTGATTAACAAATGTGGCTACATTGATAAGTTGGATACCATCCTCTCGGACAGACCCAAATTTAGGATATTTGAGTCCAAAGAAGAACAAGATGCATTTGATTGAAAAAGCGGTTTCGAAATATTGGAACATCTTAAGCAACCAGGAAATCCTGACGTCATTACTCTCGTGCTTATTTGCCCCACTAGTGCAACAATCCTTCGACTTTATTGTCTTCTAAAAGTGCATGAACCCGGCCTACCTCTCAGGCCCATCCTTGATATATCTGATTATTCTTATCATGCTTTGGCTAAATGGCTTGTCGGACTGTTAGAACTAATGAGAGGAGAAGTGTCGACGCAGTCTGGAGGGCAGTATAGATTTCGTCGATCTGAAGGTTGATAAACACTCTGTGTTCTCCCTGGACATCGAGTAGTTGTTTACCAACATACCACTCACTGAGACAATAGAATGCTTGTGGCCTGCTTGAGTGCAGCTGTAACAATACTGCTATTACCATCTCATATCTTATGGAACCCCTGCTCCTTTGCGCCTACTTTTACAAATCAAACTTATTGGTAGAAGAACGGGGTGGCAATCCGTTCTTCCCAAGGTCCCATGCTGGCAGATGTTTTCATGCCAAACTGGAGACTCAAAAACTAAACGCACTAATCGGACGGTTGACGTTGTATCGTCGCTACGTAGACAACATTTCCCTAATTGCCGACGAAACCATCGGCAAAACAGACGTGCGAAGCAGTCACGATTCAGTCCATGCTGATACTATCGAGTCAGAAGAGAAGGGGCTGTTAAGTTTTCTCAATGTCAACGTCAAATGAAAGTCTACGGGTCAATTACAAATATGTAGTTTTGAACTAAACACAATGCAATATTGATTTTCAACTATCATGACTAATGATAATCTGCATAGAGTTTGAACACTGTGTGGCGGGAGTTTTGGTGTGTGCCTGACATAAATCCAGACAGTCCAGACAACGAAAATCGATATACATGTGTCGAAAATTTAGAATAAGTCGTTTGAAGACACTAAAATTGAGTGATGTCCGAAAAAACATTGATAAGTGAGGTTCGTGATTGGTGCGTTTGTCGTAATGTGCCCATATATTTGACTGATTTTGGAAGAAGTGAAATTCAAGAGCGACAAATCCTGACCATGCTGAAGATCGTTTGTATTCTGCGAACTGTAGGTAAGACTACATGATGTTGTTTGAAACGGATTGCTCTGAAGTCGGCTTTTCGAGAGGCAACGAGGGTAAAAAAGAGCGGACAGTCGACGGTAAAATTCGTGGAGACTTTAGCTGGCTGCATTGGTGAGTAAGCACATTTTTGTGTGCATTCATTAGCACATGAGTAGTTTCTAGTCTTATGCCATAATCCCTTGGAATAGCTGTCACTTTGCCACCCAGTTTTATTCCATCGGGCTTTTAGTGGCGTCAGGAGCCTGCATATAGCCGATTTACTATGTGCATTTTTGGCCAAAAGAAGGGATTCGGAAGGCGGCTCTATGCATATGATATATACATTTATAATACGTAACATACCTCCATCGCGATCTCGTCCAGCATGGATAGTGATCAGTGAAATGTTTGTCGTAAAATTCTGCTATGTATTTTGAGGAAATAAAGATGGGTTGAGTAGGTGAAAAATAACAAAGTAGAGAAATGCTGGTATAATCTAATCTACTTCGCAAGCGGAAGCGCTCTATCACACATGCAACGTTCTAACGAAGTTGAAAAATTAGATAAAAGATTTCGTGTAGTTATAATACGACTGCATTCAACATAGCATTTGTATTCTTTCTCTGATTACATACATGCAGGTGGATGCAAAGGAAGGCCTTTGTCATGTCGCAGTAAGTTGATATCTCTGAATATTACGTTTAAGAAATCTAGTTTACACACCTCTTGAGGATGAGCCAAATTACCTCAAACAGGTATCATCAACAAAGCAATCACTGACTAGCCATTTATTGAACTCTATTTACATTCACCAAATAGATATGTTGTGAAAAATGGTGTTGTCATAAAACTCAGCCGCCCAATTCATTTTGAGAACAATCCATAGAGCGCTTGCAAATCACTAAGTAGACATTTTTTGAAAAATGGTGTTGT